GTAAGAATTTAATAAAATTTGTGATGTTTTCGATGTAACGTTTTAATTGTCGCAATAAAAATATTAATACACGTTGTATATCCATTTTATTTTCATGCATTATAATTAATATCTTAAATTATTATATCTATAACTTGATAAGTGGTAATTAAGAAAGAGATGTATGGTTAAATAAATGAAAAATATATGTATAATTATACATAATTATATATCATATAATTACATATAACGTATATGTATAAAATTGTATTATAATATGATTAATACATATCTACGGCAAAGAATATATTAAATTTATTTAAAAAATTTGAAAACCTAAAATTTTTTTTTTTAACAGGTTTTAAATATTACTTGCATATCTTGAATGATCTTTGAAAATGTAATAAACTCTTATTATCACATAATTTTTCTCGACTGCAGAATTAATTTCTTTAAATAATTTAGTCTTTCTTAGTTCATAATATTATTAACAGAATTCTACAATTGTATGCGTTTTTTTTTAAGTTATAATTTATAATATTCAATTGTAGAATTGAATATAAATATAATTTACGTAGTATAATTAAGGATTTTTTTATTACTAATATTTCACAAAGTGGATTTAAAATAATCTTGATAAAAAAATAATTTTGATGTCTCTTGAAAATTATAAGAAATATGTATATACTATACACGAAAATATATAAATGTAAATAAGCGTATAAAAATACTATTGAAGGTGTGATAAAAATTATTACATGTTAAGACATGTTGTAAGAACATTTTTATATCTGTGCATTATTAACACATGTTTATCTTCAGTCTACTTCCTCTCATTCATAGACAACGAAAGGTCGACCACGCAATAAAATATTTTCAATATTAATACAATTTGTGTGTAAATTAAAGTATATGCTTTCTTTCTTGCTTTTAATTTACATGAACATTTAACGTAAGTGATGCATGTATTATTATATTTGTCAAATGTGGAAACTTATAATATTACATTACATTAGTGAATAATTATGTTGAAATTATTAAGAAATAGTTAGAAAGAGAGAGAGAGAGAGAGAGAGAGAGAGAGAGAGAGAGAGAGAGAGAGGGAGGGAGGGAGGGAGAAGAGGATCATCTTTTTTTCCTGGACGACGGGACATGTATGTACATAACACATGAGAGCAAACTTGAGTAAATGTGTAATACTTTCGGACATACTCACGGTCAAAATCAAACTTACGTCAATATCCATCGGTCCATTAGGATTTCGTTTATGTCTTCGGCCCATTTCCGGTCGTCCCTGAAACGGAAGGTCGTCTACTTTCTGAAGACCATTGACCGTTTTTTAACGTTCGGAGTTGCCGACATTGTGAAATTGTGGATGACTTTCCTTGAATTTCGACGGTGAAGGGATATAAAAGCACGTGAAATGTAAGATCAACTTTGAATCGTTTTCTAGACGTCTGACAAGTAACAGTGACACTTCCGTTTTGTGATGAGAAGTTTACTTTTAATAACAGCGCTTAGCGCAATTTTTCTAAGAGAATCATTTGGTAAACCAATGGATAAGATGGATAATTCTGATGTGTTAGATCCCGTTGCCTCGATTGTAAACGAATCCTCCGAAATTGGTAATAAAAATTTTCAATTTAATAGATTAAGATTGTTTATAACAAACACATTTTTAGAAAATTTATTTAAAAACCGATTTTAATTTTAACAAAAATAATGTAAAAATTTATGTATTTTTATTTGCATATATGACGTTTATACAACTTCTTATTTTTTTTTTAGCTTTTTCCTTCTTAGAGAAAGTTGTCTACTTATCTCTAACTAGGATATTATTTTAATATTAATATAATTAATAACCAGCATATTATTTAAATATTAATGTATAAAGGAATAAATGCTTACATTACTTTAGAAACCACGAGAGAGCAAAGATCGCCGCAATTCGGTTTGTTAGGTGGTTACAGTGATTATGATTATGATGATACGTATTTCCGTTATGGAAACAGACGAAAATATCATCATTATAAACCGTTTCGACCTCATAGGCCACATGGTCTCATCGGAGGATATGGATGTCGTGGAGGATATGGCTGTGGTGGAGGATACGGAGGGTACGTGTAGAATATTATTTTACTTGATTTTAAAAAACAATAATCGCTATTTTATATGTAAACGTGACAATTTAAATTATTTTATAATTTCATCACATACGATAAATCAATAAAAATCTAGTTCTTCACAAATTTAGTTCACAAATTGTGAACTAAAATGGAACAAGACAACCGTTTGCATTTTACCTTATGATTCACGCAGATGGCAACCGGACTATGGCGGCTATGGACAAGGAGCGTCCTTTGCTTCAGCATCAGCAGGATCTGTAGGTGGAGGTGGTCCTTATGGTGGAGGACACAGCCAGGCGAATGCACAGAGCGCGAGTTTTAACATCGGGCCTTTCTCAGCCTCGTTCAGCGCTGCTCAATCGTTGGGACAAACTGGATTCTGAATTTTTTAAACGGTAAGCACTGGACTGGATCTTATCCTAATACACTGTAGACTCGTGTGTTTATTTGATTAAATATTTATCTAAATTAATTAGAGCTCCATTATACTAAAATATAATATCATTTTACTTTGTCATCTATCACTATCTCCGCGTACTCCTATGGCAAGAAAAGAGTAGCGCGGTAATTAAATAATATAACTGATTGTTTATAATTATTGCAAAAATGTATTAACTTATGTATATAAAATTCATTGATTAACTTTTATTTCAATCATATTATCATCATAAATGTAAACGGATTATATCTTCTACCTTTGGAAAGACAGAATATAAAAATTATGTGCATTCGTGAAAATATTTTATACAAGATATAACTGCTCTTCATTACAAACATTTTGATCGCTTGTGAAGGTTTTATGCAAAAAGTTAAATAGTATATACCTTTTATATTTTTAATTGTATAATTTATTATTACAATATTATGCTAGTGTTACTTAAAATTCATATATCATAGATAGAATACCAAGAAGTACGATATTGCATCCTTCGCATTCTAAGAAGGGTTAAAGACCAAGGATGCTGCGCTGCAGCATTATACGCTGCGGCCGCCCACGAAATTGCGCCGGACTCGTCTCGGGCATAGGTCAACGAACTCGAGGGGCCCGGAGGTTGGGTCCGGGAATCCGCGATTCGCATTATATTACCGCGATCTCGTTGTGCCCCCTAACACCCCGCGCTGCGCTGACCCAACGCGGATGAAACGAGCCTGAAACATCTGTCCGGCGCGGCGCGGCGCGGCGCGGCGCGGCGGGCCCTATGGCGGACCCCGAAGACGCAACAATCTTCGTCGGGGAAATACGGGCGTATTTCACTTTCGCCGGGGTACGGACTCGTGTACGGCGATTATAGCCGTGCAAATGTTCATGTATTTATGTATGTACATTTATGTGCAAATGTGAATGTGTACGTGTACGTGTGAGTGTTTAAATATACTGGAGTGTGAGTGTGTACGTACATTTGTGGGACCTGCCCGGAAAGGCTTCGCGAATGTGAGCTGGCGCGGCGTTCGCGCATTGTGCCATTGAGGCACACGGCCCTTTCGGGGTACGTGTGAAAAAGAATGAACAAAAAAAAGGGGGGGGGGAAATGAATCTTCTTGGTTCTCAGGCGATCGGCAGACGGCCAGACAGACGGATTAACTCGTTTTAAAGGGACAGCCAGACGCCATATTGTTGTTTTGGGACCCGTAGTTTAGGTACGACGCTCCTCTCTCTCTCTCTCTCGGCACGACGAACCGGTCTGTTTTCGTCTCCCGAGAGATGCACCTACACGCGAATCGGAGTGTCGATTATGCACACACTTGCGACGCTTGGACATGCAAGTAAATGGCCATTGTTCGTCGAAGGGAGTCAGAGAGCTTGGGGATCGAGCGAGCGAGTTTAAATCGGATCGTTTCGGATTGCCAACGTAGAAAACAAGCATGACAAGTTGATACCAATTTTTTCTGAACTTAACGATGCGCTTTATAAGTTCGAGCTGTGTATGTCGAAATTATTTTGTTTTAAATCTTGGGAGAAATCGACTAATTTTGACTAATTTTTAAAATTAATCCCGTGTATACAGCTTTATGCTTAATATTATTCTTAGACTTTTAAAATTGCTCTCGCAAATGACATTTTCAACAATTTTTTTTTTGCATAACTCCACATAAACGTTTTATTACGCTGCTCTGTAATCGGGAAACAATGATGCCTTAGCTATTTTCATAATGAGATTGTAAACATATATAATTCTGTGTTGATGCAACGTTCGTTACAAAATCGTTAAACATAGTTAAAAGATTTACGTCTTTTTATTAAAGATGACTCAGCTGAACATGTTAAAGAAAATGCTTCTTCTGCACGACGCATCTTTTTTTTCTTAAAGCACGAGTCTCTTCGCTGCTGTCTCATCGTTTCAAAGTTAGCGAGCAATAGAAATTCTTTATTTTATCCGAAATTCTCTCTTTCCCGTTAATATTTTTAAGTAATTATGTTTGCGTAACCAGTTTAATAATCATCTTAATGGAAGCAAACATAATAGGTATATGTACTCTAAATGTTAAACGTTTCCTATTTTCCGCAGCTCCAAGGAGCAGCTAGGCGGCCTCGAATCACCCCTAATTTATTTCACCATCATCATCTCTCCGCCATCATTGTGGGCCCATTGTTTACAAACATTCTACGTCACTCACTAGGAGCAAGTAAATAAGCCTAACCGCGTGCGTGAGCCACCCTCTTGCCTCTTGCAAGAGGATTTCCTGAGCGAGCAAGTTTTCTTTGTCCGCATGCCAGCCACCAGATGTTCTCCAAAATAAAACCGACAAAATATCGCGACATAGCGCCGCGATTCGCGCATGAACAAGCGAGACAGAGGACAAATCTGACGCGAGAAGAGCAAGGACGGAGGAACCACGAAGAACGACGAAGTGGGGAGGAGACGCCGCGAGACGGAGGGTCGCTGGATAAACGGCACAAAGGGATAGGAAGCCGAAGAGAGGAGGGCCTGTTAAGAGCGAGGGCCCCTGAAATCGAGATCCGAAAAGCCCCGTGCAATGACCGGACGAACCGCACACGCGATCTTCGCCGGCGCAGCATCCTCCGTTTCGAGGTACTCTCTTCACTCTCTTCCTCTCTTCGAAGAGGCCAAGAGGAGTTTCGAGGATGGATGCATAAGATGCGTTCGTCGACGAAACTTGTGAATCAGTTTATTTATATGTTCTTTAGCAAAAAAAAAAAAAAATACCAATCTTATAATTTCAGTGATCTCTACTAGTATAATAAATGTTTAGTACAATTATCATAATATTTTTAAAAGATGAACATAAATGAAAATAAAAAGACTTGTAGAAAAGATGAGATGGAAACACTATCTGATATTAACTCGACACGCACATCTAAAAGCTTCCTTCAAATCCTAATCCTTTTAAATCCTTTTTCTTGGAACTATTTATATAAAACAATGATTTTACGAAATAATGCAGTTTTAATTTAATTGTAATGGAAATTTCTATACTTGCGTTAATTGATTTTTGTTTGTGTTTTTTTCATAATGATAATCACGACGAAATTCGCGTATTATGGACAAAAATGAGAAAATGGAGAACATTCGAGGAATTACGTTCGCTCGTTAAAGATCTGCTGTGATATTATCTGCAGCTTATTGGGTGAGGTACCCTGTTATTTTACAAACTACGGAAGATCATTAAATGTGTTATTTTTTGCGCCCCAAAATCACCTCGACTTCAAAAAATTGCAGTCCGGCTTCAACTCTTCGCAAAAGTACAATAAATACGAATTCAAGCAACTTCACTTCATCATCTCATCAACATGAAATTCTACTTAAATCGAGAAACTTTTATTCTTTTAATTAATGTAGGATGAAACTTCTTTTCTGGAGGGATCATTGCCGGTTCTTGGTTAAAATTGGCATTTCTAGATCGTAATAGTGTCCACCCTGAAAAAGTCACATTAACGATACCTGAGATGCATCAAAGAGACTCGTTAAAGGACTGTGCTGTCGTTAACCATTGTTTAGCCGCTCCTGGGCACCTACGGCCCTGCCAGCCGGTAAACCAGTCTCTCCGTCTGAGTAAAAAGAGAAAGAGACAGAGCACGGGAGTCGTCCTGTGATAAACAGAAGGAGAGATCAAATGAGAGAGAGACAGAGGGGGAGAGGATTGAGAAGAAAAAAATGAAATAGAAAGTGGTCCGGCCGGTGCAACAGACTACAGTATATGACGCCTTTAAAGCACCTCCTCCTGGTGGTACCCATGAGTCTGTTCCTGTTTTCCACACACTATACCAAATCCGCGATGCTTTCTTGAAGGCTCCCGCGTCATTATGCTCGCATTTCTCGTGCGGTTGTCGACTCGGAAAGTATATCCTCAGCTTATCGCCGGTAAGTCGAGATACGTACTGTTAAGTATTAAGTGTTAAGTCCGAGGTCCATGATACAAGTAAGTGTAACTGCGCCGATCTGTAAGGAGGCTTGTTCTGTCATTTCGCAAGGTCGAAGGCGAGGATGACGCGCGAAGCAGTGATAAGAGTTAATCATAGTGTTGAACTCGGTATAACTTATTTTTTCAAACGATACGTACATCTTCTTTTTCCAATCCATATGGCGCACAAATGTGTTTATTAAATTGAAAACGAGATATGAGCACGATTAATAATTACAGTAAAGAGAAATTGGCTTTCATTTTTTAAGAGGAAACTTTAATTGAAGAGAAAGTTAATTAACTGTTTTAAAAATGCATGCGAATCGAGGCTATTATATTATCTGTGCATTCGTGCTGTCATTTTACTTAAAAAATAATTAAATTGTTTACAGAAATTTAAATTACAGAAATCTGTTTAAAATCCTTTTTACACAATATTTCTCTAACTGCTCGGATTTTCTATAACACATTAATATTCTTCGAAGATTATTAACTTTAATATTTAATTATATCTATAAGATATTTTTACTGTAGAGTGACCAATTGCGATAACGTTAATGAGTTGCACAATCCATTGCTTTTACGTAAGATTCTGCCAATATTGACTGCTCTAGAAAGTGATTCAATTAGTAATTCTTCAAACTCGTGTTCCTACGAATGGTGATTACGAAATCGAAGGCCTTTTAACAAATCTATTTAAAGTTAACGGCTGCTTAGAATTTTCGAGCACTCAGGCATGACGCAAAAGTAATAGTAATCAGTTAGTATACTTTTATAATTATCAGTTAGTATACTAGTATAATTTTTGTGTAGTCGAAAGATCGCTAATATTTGCTATTGATGTATCTGACAGATTTTTTTTAATATGTAAATGTTTATACGTGTGTGTGGAAGAATAAAAGTCTATTTAAAAATTTGTCGCTTTATGTAATTTATTTTTTGTTTCGTATATATGTCAACGATCAGGTAGTTACGATCGAATAATCAGATAAATATAATAGATATTATTTAATAATAGTTTAAATCATTATAAACGTTAATAATAATCTAATTATATTATGAACTGTATGTGTGTGAAGGACTCGACAATGTATATGTTAGAATAGATTGCATCAAAATATTTTATTGAAAGCTTTGTTGATTTCTCACCGATCATTTTTGTTTGCTCTCTTTACAGGGTAACAAAAATTTCGATCTTTGGACATATTAAAATTCCCGTTACAAAATGATTAAAATTTTGGCCCTTTTGCTACTCACTTCAGTCTGTGTCATAATCAATGCTCAAGAGACGGCATCTAATGAAAAATGTAAGTAAAATAGTAAAAGATATTTGTTAAAGAATATTTGAAGACTTTTATTATATGTTTTCGCGAAAATATATACACGTAAATTGTATATGAAGCAAAGATAAAATAATTAATTGTACTTAATAATAAACTTTAAATTTTCTTTACCTTTAAAAATTTAATTAATAAAAAATTCATTTCTGCATCTCTTTATTTATGAAAGGAATATTTATCTAGAAATAAAAAAAAAATTGGATCTTAAATTTTACTTTCTTCAGTAACTTGTTAAACAATTTATTATACTTTTTCTTTAATTGCGCAGCACTTTTTGGTCAAACGTTTGATGAAATTATCGTATCGTCGGATTTAAACGTTAGAAGAAAATCAAAAGAAAATCGTCAAGGCAAAAGATTATCAAATGTGCCGTCAGCAACTACTGGTCCACCGGAAAGACCGACTGCAATTGCGTCCAGACTCGTTTTCGCCGATGGAAGCCGTATAACGCCAGAAAAAAGGGAGAAACGTGGCATAACAACGCGAAGGAGGTAAATTAATAAACAACTATCTTTCTTGTTAATTGAGTTATCGATGAGACTCGATTTGAATTAATTAATGTATCTATTATAAAAATGCCGAAGTATTAATGCCAGCTAAATCACAATGTAAATTATTTTGATATATATATATGTAAATGTGTGATTAATTTTAAAAAGAGCTAAATAATCTTAGGTAATATCAGCTGATAGTATTATGCCGTTTTACTAAATCTTCAGTGAATTCACTTAATTACTGTTTACTGAATTGCAAAGTAAAACTGAGTGAATATTTCTCTAAACGATTTTCATCCAATAATGTAATCGGGAAAAAATGTTAATTGCACTAAATCAATTCTCAAGATAGAATTTTAATTTATCACAAAAATGGGAAAGCATATTTCATGCACCTAATTTTAAAAACAATTAATTGAAGTTTTTTGTTATAAAGATTTATTTATAATTGCATATACTTAACATTAATTGTACGTGAAATAACTTACATGATCTTTATAATTTCAGGTATCTGGATCTGGGCGTCGCGGGATACTTGCTGAAATCTCGGAAACGGTGAAAATTTTATACTCCGAGGACAACCGCACGACCCTCCACACCCTCATCTGTGATCACACTTCTTTGGATGAACTTTTAGGCCACGGTTCATGTACAAAAAGGATAATAAAATTTTTCTGTGTCATAACACTTCCAGCTTTATCACTGCGCACTCGCAAAATTATTCTTCTCTCTTGACTTTCCACAAATCCATATTTCACATAATAAGACGCACCTTCCTAAATTTCAATAATATTTAATATTTATCTTAGAGTAAAAATCTATGAATAATATTCAAAATCAAGCATGTCTCTTTTAATTTAATAAAATTAATATTTATTAAAATATGTTATTATTATTAAAATTTTCAATTAAGAGTAAAGAATTAATCATTCTAAATTTTAACACATTTCATTACATTTTATCATCGTTAACATAGTACAGTTTTTTTTAGACTCAAGGAAAATAATATGGTAGATTTTCTTGAGACGCTGAGACAAACACAATTTGAATACGATTTTTTTTTACGAATATATCCTTATTGACGACGGTACGTCACGGTCTGACAATACGACCGCCGCAATGGCAGGTCAATTGTCAGGCATTCCGCGTTCGTATGCGAGTCGAAAAAAAGATCGGTTGTCTGAAATATGGCAGCCCGCCCTCAAAAGACAGCCGCTAGCACGATCGCTATGCATCGTGTCGATGCACTTCGCCACGCGATGCACCTACGGCACGTGACACGCACGTCCAAAACACATCATTTGTGTACCAGCTTTTCCTTTCTCATTTGCTCGCGTAATATTCTTTTCGTTTCTTTAATTAATTTTAGATTGAAATTAATGATGTGTCACAATAAAGTTACTAATCATTAGTTTCAACATGAAGATAAAAATGTGAAGATCGTGACGAGACTTATTATTTATTATATTATACAACCTTGGTTCTGTAACTTCTTCATTTAATGATTTTTTATCCTTATTTTTTTGTACTCTTGCTCTTGCGATAAAATATACATTTCCTTGTCTTCGAAAACGATTGTCATATTAGATTTCTGGTTTTATAGATTTTTAGATTTTCTTAGAATTTCATAACTTTTGAATTTAATATTTTCTTCACACACACGTTTCTTACTTATGATTACTCTTTTCACAAATTCGTCAGACACACGTATTGTAATGTCTTCATTTTATTAGCCACAATCTTCACATTATCTGGCGTAATAAGCGTAAGTAGTAATAATACAAAATAAGTTGTTAAATGCAAATTCCCGTTATTAAAGAATGAAATTATGTTACGCATTTGTTATTTCCTTGCGTACGTAATGCAAAAAATCTCGACTTTTCTTTGAATCAACTGAATGCCGGAAGACTCCGGGAATTTAATTTACGGTTAAGCTATAACTTTGCAAATAGTCGGTCGTTCGCTTCGTGCGTAAAGAATAGGAAAATCTCGCGTTCTGAACATTAAAAGAGTCCGACTAAAGTCATATAATATTTTATGGCGATTTCGTGGTTAGATTTTTCGGCACGCTGAGTCGCTCGTTCGCATACTTCTGCTTTGACGTTACAGTACATAAGCACGAACATGCTATAATTGATCGAAATAATACGATATATTGATTGCAAGAGCAAATGCACATTCTTTGGATTTTTATATATATATAAATTAATTTAATTAATTAAGTCAATTGTTAATATTTTAAGAAATCAATTAGTTAAAAAGCTCGTCGTCAGATTGCAGTGTGCATAAATTTTGTGTTAAGCTTGAAGTGATCTCGATCTCTTCGCGTCGATCCAGGCCGGAAGTAGCATTCCACGATGTGAATACAAATCCAACCGATCAATTTCCTCGGGCAATAGGGAGAATGGACCGGTGCAGGTGTTTCGTTTTCGACCCGATCTCGCATTTGCATCAGACCTCTATCATGATGCAAAATCCGTAGGTCTTATTGCATGTATATACCGTTTACGTATATACGTGGGGGTTTATGTTAGTTTGGTGCACCTGCGACTATTTTATATCTTTCCAGGAAAAACTGGACACTAAATCCTAAATGCGGTTATCTATGGTCAATCCACTGACTGCTAATCACTGACGTCAGTAGCGCAGCTAGAAGACTGGGCTATGAAAACGAATGAATAACGTTTTATTTCTGTTTTACTAAATTTATAGATTTATAAAAATTTCAAAAATCATTTATCCGTATTATTTAAAGAATGGCACAATTTTCATTTTGATAACGATTATCTAATCAATTTAGGAAAGAAACTTTTTAAGATCTGCATAATGCTAGATTTTTTAAATTTAAACAATTACATATAACTATCTGTATGTAAAATATTTTTTTTTTCTTGATCTTTTATTAAAGTAAATACTTTTTCTAGCTTTATTAATTATATATTCATTTTATTTTCGATAATTCCCACGATCCAATCTTTTCGTCCTGCCTACGCCACTGAACAGGATACACATTTAAGTGAAACACATACTATGATTCGAAACAGCACGAAGCTTTCGTTTTATTTAAAAAATTTGCAAAATGAACGCAATCCACAGACGAGATGTTACGCGGTCTTTCAACTCGCAGTGCTTACCGGATTTACCGGACTTACCGGACTCTTCGTGATTGGTTTCCAAATAAGATTGTGAATATCTACACCGAGATGTGTCTTGAAACGCTGTTGCGGAAACTGAGATGCAAGTTTTCAAAACTTTTTAATTTCAATTAAATATCGTTAAAGATATTCTTTAAAAAAGATTTAAACGTTTTAATATCTCTATACAGAAAAAATAAATATGTATTTGTAAAAGAAAAATAAATGCATAGTGCTAAATTAAAGATATTAATTCGAGAGACTTTCTTATTAATAATAATTGCATTTGACTTAATCCCTTCAAATTCCTTTGAAATTGACGTACAAACAGGCGAAAAATTCGTATCGCCCATCGATTTAATATGCGTCATTGCGAATTAATCATCAGCATCACTTGCCAGTCGATCGTTCGACAAGATTTCGAGTTAGGCGAGGCTACCAAAGTAGTACGATCTGTATGTCTCACGTCTTCGACGGCTTGTCGCACGTGAGCCGATCAACGTATGCCGTTGCACAGCACGTGTAATTCGACATCGCCTAATCTTAATTCAGCCTGCACGATGGTACTAAATGAGATTCCGTCGGCAAAACCGCGCAGACATTTGCGAAAGCGGGAGTCAAGTGTACCGCTGAAATCCTGAGAATTCTGGGATTTCTGATTTTAATTCCGCGACGAGGAGGGTTGACTTCGTACACGAGATATGAATTCATTGTTGAATTTATTCAACAAGTAAACGAATAATTTTAAGAGATTATAATTTATACTTTATAGAATACTTCAGCGAAAAAAGTACTATGAACCATTATAAGGATAGTGAATAATTAGAAATTAGGATCATTTAAATTACATACATTATTTAAACTATTTAAGTCTTGTAACTATTTTGTGCTTAAAATTATTTTGGTAAATCTTTATAAATAATTATTGCATAAATAATTTAATTATTTGTAATAAAATAACATGCCCATCTCTCGTTTTGTATCAATAAAAAAAATTATTTACTGCAAAAAATAATGACACAATGATCTTAGATGGTCAATGAATAAATGGAAGCATTTCGTATCTAAATTTTGTAAACCTATATCTTTTACAAACTCTATATATAATACACATCTGATATGCATCGCTTTAAAGAAGACTCAGAATAATTGTGCTTCAACGGTACTAGACGCACCTGTTTTCTTGCCTTATTCTCAAATGGGTTTTAGACGTATCATATACGGTCATTGAACTCGTACCGCATTGTTCTCAAACCAACCACGTGCCATTTTAAAGCCGGATTATTGATTATTTAAACAGTACATTGTAACATAATACATATATTTAAAAAAAAAGAAAAAAGCATTTCTTTATCTTTAAATTCCTTGAAGTATAAATTTTATTACACACGCGGAGAAAAGAACTTTGCATTATACAAATCATTTATAACATATTGTTTAGTTGTCAGACATCATGACAAAAATATTAATTTGTTAAAAATTGATTAGTAAGAATTATGAATAAATTTTTATATGGTACACACACAACAATTTATCAAGTTTATAAATAATGATTCAGTTGACGCATTGAAAGCTGAAAGATTTTAATGGAATCGTAAAAGATTAGACTAATATTTATTCTAACTCACATTCGTCAGTTAAGCGGCTCGATTGTTGTGTACTCCGGTATCGCAGACATTATATCGTGAGTTCGCGTTATTTCATGAATCAATCTCGAATCGCACCGCTTTCCAAGTCACGCATATCGTATTTCTGCGCGTGACCAGACGGATCAAAAAGTAGCGTGTCTGACAGAAGGTAGGCGTATCGCAGTTGGTATCGCAAAATTCGTACATCATTCCTCCCCGGAATATTTTTATACTTCACTGCCTCTTCCTTCTCCGAGAGCATAGAAATCAATCTCCGCAGCACATCCGCGTCGCACTATTCTCTGGACTCATATACCTAGAAACCTTCCTATGGCGAGCTATGTGGAATCACAATCGCCGAATTAATTCGCAAATGCAAATACGAAATTTACAAGCAATTCTTGATTCTTCGATGACTCGCTGAATCACATCATATTATATAATAACTTCAACTTACAATTAATATAAATGCAATAATAAATAAATATATAATTTTGACTTATTACTGTTCAACAAAAATGAATTTTTTAAGAATGAAGAACACGAAAACGAAGGTAATTGTTGACGTAATCTTTTGAACGCTAAATATGATCTCATTTACCAATTGCTATAATTTGATAAATGGAGTCATACTTAATATCCAAAAATCTATGTTATGAGGGAGAGACATTCTTTCTTTCACATAAGAGAAAGAATCTATCTTTTGGTTAAAATAGTCCTTAGCTCAAGAATATTCATATATGAACAGTTTATAGAACCGAAAAGTGTATTTGTAAATTTATTATTCCAAAATCCACTTCGCGACAGAAAAATATAAAATTCTTTCTCTTATTTAATTTATTCTTACCGGTCTAATTTCCATTTATAATTGGAAAATAATTACTTCTTGCGTATTTTATGTAAATAGTAATATTAATATAGTAAT